ATCACATCATCAAATTCAATAAAAATTCAATCAACTCTACAAACCCTAACCAAGGCCTAACATGATTTAAGCTTCTACACTTGATTTTAATCATCACTCATGAATTAGAATTATCCAACAACTTCAATAACTTAAAAATATTCCATCAAATCTTCAAAACCAAACATGTCCTTCAACCACCCAATTCATGAATCTCAACATCTAAGCATGATTTCCATGTAATTTTTATACCAAGTGATAGAGAATTTCATGTAGATTAATTCTCTATCTAATTCCTTGGGCAAAGATGAATCAACTTGGGTTTGAATTTCTAATTTGGCCATGCAATTTTTGAAAATTGCATTTTAGTCACTAAAGTTTTACTGTTCAGTCAAATCTAAAAAATTACACTATTCTAAGCCATATTTATCTGATATAAAATATGAAAATAATATTTCCAACCATTTTCTAACATCCTTCAAATTTTCCTAAAATTCTGCTTTGATCTGATTATCTGATTTCAATACCGAACTTTATCGCTTTATAGCTTTTAACACAAATCTCGTACTGAAAATATGATTCCCACAAAAATTCTCTCTTTAGGCCAACCTTTTCATTTACGAGCTAAAATATATAATTTTTTAAAATTACATTTTTGGTCCCTAAAATTTTACAAAGTTTATATTTTTAACCCTTAAACTTTCAAAACTTACATTTTAGTCACTAGTCAAAATTTGGGGTATTTCATATAAAATTGATTTGTTGAGTCCCATGATTATTAAAAGTTATAAAATTGTCATCTAATTATTTATTATGTTCTGAACTCATCATTTTCCGTTAAAAATTTAACAGCAGTCTGAGATGGACGTTGACCTGCTGATTGAGATATGATAAAATCTGATTTCGTAATCTCAAACGACTATTATATCTCATTCAATATGTTAACATCCAGATCAGACGATCGTTAATTTTTTAACGAAAAATGATAAGTTTGGAACATAATAAATAGTCGGGGACCATTTTAAAACTTTTAATAGTTATGGGACATAACAAAAAATATCCTATAATTAGAGGGTTATTTGTGTATTTTACACTTTTTTAATAGTCTAGAGTGATAATAAGGTATTATCTTGTGGAATATTTCTTAGTCAATTAACAATACGAACACATATTACATATATAAATGCTCAAACTCAAGTCTTCTAAAAAGAATAATATTATGAGACGAGAATAACTACGATGATGAGAAAATTAGGAGGAAATGAAACTTGAAAATTCTAAATAATATATAATTGATTTAAAAGTATTCAGAGTTGTTTTATTAGATTAAAGATTATCACATTAAATCCGGTTTTGATTATATTTTTCTTAAGATTTAATGATCCTGAATTGGAAAAAGTCAACCCTCTAAAAGCAAATCAAAACTTATCGTGTCCAAGTTATTTTTCAAAGTTGTAAACATTTAAAAAATAAATTTAACTTTTAACGTTTACATATTTTATCAAATTAACTTTAATTTCTTTTAACTAAATTTTACTATCAACCTTTAAAAAATGAAAATACTATTTTTTAAATAAAAATACTAACTTTTCTAACATAGTTGATATAATCGCTTGGTTGGCAATTTCTTTTTAAAAAATAATTTTTATAATAACATTTTTTATTAATATGACAATATAAAATATATGTAGATTATCACGTTAACATAATTAAAATTTAACATTTCACTTATTTTTCAAAACAAAACATAATTTTATTTTTATAAATATTAATGGTAAATTAAAAAATAACTGTTAAAATAATAGAGAAACTTAAAAATATTTTTTATAAATCAATGATAAATACAAGGTAGTATATATTCAAATACTTTCAACTATTTGACAATGAACATTCATATTCCTGCATATGCGATGCTCGAACCCAAAACTCAAGAACTAATAAAAAATCTCTTAATTACTGAGAATTTTTTATTCATGCATAAATATAAAAGTGTTAAATTCCTCATTTTGTGTGATTGTATTGAACTTACACATATGAGTTCCCGATTTCTAATTCGACTAAGTTTGCCAAACTCCCAATTTTTCCTCAAGAGTTTTTCAATGGGTTATGTCATGTGGAATTTGGAGTTTGAAATTGAATGAAGAAATTTAATGGATGAATGAGAAGAAATTAAAGCTATCACACTTGCTTTATGTTTTATTGTTAGAAATAAACAGTTAGTTTATTAGCCCTTTTCTTTAACATATATAGTTTCAATAATAATTCTCATATTTCCTTTCTTACTTATCACTCTTCACCTCTTCTCCTCCACCGTTCTTCATCCGGCCATAATGCCTCCTTTCTCACATTTATTACGTTTTCAAGTGCTTTTATTAATGCCTAATTCATCAATCTGTTTACATCCTACAGGCATTGCTTTCATTAAGGACCCCAATGGTTATTGGCTGATTTGAAAACTACTGTATAGAGCATCACCAAATTCTAAACTCAGGACTTTGTTTAAAGGTTTTAAAAATCTCATCACTTGACGACTTTTTTGATCATATGGAAACCTTGGGCCAAGCTTCTTTTGAACTTTGAAACTGTTAACAAAGTTGAAGTGGTAGTCCATTAAGTAGAAGAACTTCAAGGATTGAACCAAGGGTTTTGAAAACTTGATTGCAACATCATTTACAATATCGAGGAAAATGGAGTTACATGATCTTCCAGGCTCACACTTCAAAATGTGATGCCTAATGGGCTTCATTTTTCAAACAGAGTTGGTTAATTTTGCATGCAATAAATTATTTCCCGTTTCACTTTTTACATTGCGCTTCATTTCTCCCTAGGGACAAAATTGGTTGTTAAGCCGTCAAAATTGGGATTGATCTTTTTCCCAATCCCAGTAATATTTAATTACCTCTGAAGTTGAAAGTGGATTATAATTTGCATAATGCCCGAAGATTAGAGGTTGGCGTTAACGAATAACCTCTTCATTATTTATCCTGGAAAAAAAATTAATAATATTTTATTTGTCAGTTGTCAGTAGGTATCACAATCGTTTGACATTCGCAAGAAAGATTATTGCTGTATACTAATACCAATGTATTATAACGAAAATACCAAATTAATCTTTACCATACAAAATTATAATCATAGATTTCAGATCGGAACAGTGTGTGTTTGTTTACAAAATATAAAAGGCTGGCTGGATCTCACGGAACAGCGATGCAGCCTGACAGAGATTTTGTGATGATGCAATTTTGGAGCTCATCGGAGTGTTTCCCAATGGGGATTCCCTCTCAATCATTTCCAATGTCAACACTCCAAATTAAGCCCTTCTTCATACATTTTCAATTTTGCCATCCGCAAACATGATAACATTAATTAATGTCTATACAGGTTCCAGATCTTTAATAATTTACTTACAAATTGAATTTTATTTAAGTATTTTCCCTCTAATAGCTAACATATAGTAATTAGTTGTTGCATGATGGTCTCTTGCTTAATTAAATGAAGCTCTAGAAGTAGATAAAAGAATGTCCAAATTTAGCAAAGCATATGTCATCACATCTGCAGATCGTTGTTTTCAAGGTAATGAACCAGAGTATAAGTGTCTGTAAAGGTTCTGTAACAAACACAAACTTATTAAAACAAATCTGAAAGTGATTTATTTCATACTAATACCTTAATTGAAGATTTATTGTTTATTATTTTATTTGTGGTTCAATGGACGAAATTTTAAAAACCTTGTAGTATATCCATATAGCTTTTGTTATTGCAATATTTTGTATCATATTATGCACTCTAACCATTGGAGCATACAGCAATAGTCAGACTCATATCCTGTCCTGAATCCAAGCTACTACCAACCAAAAGAAAACCTCGAATCATACTTAGCTTTTCAAAAGGTGATGAATCGAAGCCAACTAATTTCAAACAAACATTTGAATTGTTTATTGTTACCCCCATGAACACGTATGCATGGAGTTGATGAACTTTTTGAATTCTTTAAAATCGCTTCATTTATATTTAGACTTAAGGGTATTTAAACTTCTCCTACTTTTAAAATATAAATTAAACCTTTCCGTTTTTAATCCTCAATTAAGTTCTTATAGTTGAAAGTTTTACCAACTAATTGTTTTCTCTATTATTTTTCGTTAAATCTAATAGTTTTTTAATCATACGATATCACACATCACATCAAAATATTTTCAAGTGTTTTTTTCTAAAAAAATTGATTTTTAATAAATATTTAGATTTTTATAATTATTTTAGAAATTATTTAATTATATATATATTGCTTGATAGAATTAGATGTATCACATGATACTAATATCTTATAAAAATTATTAAGACTTAATAGTCAAAATTAATTTTTAAATTTAAAGTTTTAATTCATTTTATTTCTTAATTCGAAAGTTTTGTAGATATAAAAAAGTGAAGAACTTCATTGATATATTTTTATAGAAATTTGAGTGTCTTGTAAGCCTTATATTTATACACCTAACTAAAGAGGATTGAGTTAAAAAAATAGAATTAAGTTATTTTAAAGGTTTGGTTCCTCCATAAAATTCCAAAAATCTCCAGCATCGCCATATTGTTTTAAAATACACGGGAAACAAGTTTCCAGCTTAAAAGTCTGACATTGTTCATTAAAATAAGGCTCTGGGTCTTCAATATTTTAGACAAACAATGCCAGAAGAGAACCTAAAAAGATACTACTGCCATTCATTGGAAGGATGCACAATATTGTTTTCTGAGGATTATGATTGTATTTTCGAGGATACTTAATCCCTGGCAAATGACTTGAAAATTCACAGAAAGACAATTATAAACAAAAGTAGGAAATACAGCATAGAACAGTGCATGCTTGGTTTAACTTTATCCCAGTGATTCTTTGTTCTTGAATGATGATGATTACTTGTCTAGCTTTCATAAACACATAATTTTTTTTATTGGAGGGGTTGCAGTGAGTGAGAGGTTCGTAGAACAATAGCACCATTATCACCTCTCTAAAGCAGTAATGTGCAAAATATATATAAAAAAGAGCTTTAGAGCTTTTACCATGTACTGTCAAAAGTAGAAATGTTTCATTTCATCATAACACAAAACCCCAGAAACTGAAAGTCTTGAATCTCCAAACACTATCAAATCCATCAATCCAACCTTTGCCCCTTACCCCATCAAATCTTTCTGATTTTACACCTGCAGTCAGTGGATTCAGTAGTAGTAGTACATGACTTTCTCTTCTGTCTTGTTTTCATCAATGAAGTTGTCGCTACAGCCATTATTACTGCTAGAGCTAATCAACCTCTTAATCTCTTCAAGATCTTTGTTGAAATTGTACCCACTTGGCTTCTCAATCCATTGGCTAACATATTCACCTCTAGTATTGGTGCCATGGTTCAACATGAACTTAAAATCATCTCCATAGCTATTAGAGGCACCAAAACCCTGGAAATTGCTCATGTCTTCTTGCTTGATCTCTCTCCCGTAGCTGATGTGGCTAGAGCTTCCATCAGATGAACTGCAGCTTGGTTCTCCACTCCCAAACATGAGAAAGTTTTCTTTCGCTGGATAATACTGAATGTAACTCATCAAACTCTCCGAGGTGTGAATAAAAGAAGAATTGGTAGCAAAGGTAGGGCTTTCATTGTTCAAAAGATCAGGTTGAACCGATGACATTGGTTCAAAGGCTGTGAAAGATCCAGTTGGAGTGTAATAACTAGGGCAGTCTTTGTATAGAGATGATAATGTAACAAATGGAGTTTGATGAGAAGGTGGGAATGCTGGTGGTTTTCTCTGGGATTGAGAAGTCATAGTCATATCCATGAGTTTCTTCTTAAGCTTGGTGTTCCAGTAGTTCTTGATATCATTGTCTGTCCTTCCTGGTAACTGAGCAGCTATTATTGACCATCTGCAAATTGCATGTTGGGAAAGAAAAACGTTCCATTATAAGTAAATAAAATCTATGCTTTTTTTCTTCTAAGAGCCTAAGTAGATAATGGTGTTCAAATTGGACTTGGCATGCAAGCAGAAGAATAAACGAGTAGTTTATTTTCCTTGTTACCTTTTAGATAAAATTCATTAAATATTCTTCCTTCATCAAGGCCGTTGATAATTTTGGTTAAAGTGAAATGATTGACACCCTTTTTGGAGGTTGTTCGTTTATAGTTTTAAAATTTTCTTTGGGATCATGAGCAAGTAGGAGAGGAGGGAAGGAAGAGTTAAAACGAAAGCCTACCTGCTTCCAATACTGGCAAACAGGCTGCAGATAATCCTATCTTCTTCATCAGTGAAATCACCATGTTTAATGTTTGGCCTGAGATAGTTTAACCATCTCAACCTGCAGCTCTTCCCGCATCTTTTCAGACCTAATATAAAGACGACAAAGATTAGCCAAAAAACCAGAAGAAGGAGAGAAAGAGAGAGGCTATAGATCTGTGTTGTGATGATAATAATATATATGTTTACCAGCTTTGTGAGGGAGAGCAATCCAATTCCCACCAGTTCCAAATTTCTCAATGTAATCCTTCAGCTTTGAGTCTTCTTCAGGAGACCATGGCCCTTTCTTCACGTTAGCCTTGTCGCAGCAAGGAGCCCTCCCCATCTCTCTTTGATCTTCCCTATGTCTCTTAGATATATACGCCGACTTCTTCAAGAAACTAAAGGATCTCCCTTTCTAAGTAAACTTTGATGCAATATGAGAGATTTGGCGTGGTACCTCATGCCTTTTATTAACAAAGACTGGTTACAGTAGGGGGAAAAGAGAACATCTTTAATTATTAAGTTTTTCAGAGGTACATCTAAAGTCAGAATGATAGGCACCTTTCATCGGTTTCCAACTCCTACATGCTAATTACTAATCCATTGTATAACCTTCCATTTTCATTTTATTATGTTAAAAATTTGAAAATGAGAAAGTCAAAATTGAGATTAATATAAAACAAGTTACACAAAAGAAATAAATTTTAATATATAATTATTAAAAATATAAATATATAATCTAATATATATCGAACTCAGTATATTTAAAATATCACTCTTTCGGTATCTATACGACACATAATTTTAAAATCTAAAGTCTACTCTATATCTATATAAAAAAATAACATTTATCACCAAAATCTTTATTAAATAATAATTTTTAATTAAAGGAATTAATCATCAAATGATCTTCGATTAATAAACTTGTAATAAGATCTAACTCAATTTCTAAATAAAATTTAATTCAATATTTAATCCGTCTTTATATTTATTTTTCACTTTTTCTTCCTTTCATTAAAGGCATATGATAGAAAAGGTAAAAGTCAAACCCCATGACTATTGTCCACGACCACGTAAATAAATATTTATTAGTATCAAAACTACCTGGCTTCAACTTGTCCACAAAATCATTATATTAAAACATTTCATTTTTGAATTTGAGATTGATAAGATGTACATTATGGAAATGCCATTTAATAATTGAAACAATAAAACTATCTACTTATAATATTTAATCTTTATATCACTGTTCTTAAGGAAAATTATAATACATATATAATTATTAGTTGTATACTATATATAGTATTAAACTTTGACTACATACGTCAATCATGATATATTATTTCCTTGAAACTGGTTAAAGAATGTGGAGTTATTAGCATTAATTACCTTCTCTTAATTTGGTTTATGCATTTATATATTATACACAACACCTACTGTTTAATTTGATAATGTATAATTTTATGTTGCTCAATTAATTCAAATATGCCCTTTGACTTGAGGAGTTAATAATGAACACAACGGTGAAACGGAGGGTCCCCATGATGAAATAATTTGTCCGGAATTTCATGTGTTCAGGTGTCACCGATTGACTTATCGATGGTACCTTTGGAACTATTGACGCATCATAGGTCATTGGTATAGCAGAGAAAGTGAATATAAGTAGGCCAGCACTAGCAGCTTGTTTTTGCTTTCCTAACAAGGTACCCCATTTTTGGTTGCAAAAGTCACAGAAGGGAAATCGAGCCCCAAGTGTGAGGTACCCCTTAGGAATTAATGATGCCCCTACAACTTATGTACGTAGGTCATAATAAATCTTCGACTTAATTTTGTTTTCTTTGGTCGATATGTTTTAAAATTCAGACTGGAATGAGAATTACATTTATTATAACAACATTATCTTACTATAATAACTTAGGGAATTGGTTTTATTTAACCTGATAATCTTGTTTTATTATGTTGGATGTCTGCTTTAATATTTATTAATATACGTACTTTAATTAATGCCGTCTCATTGCAACGTATTTTTATGTTTGTTTGAATGTATAAGCGTATATACCATTGCATGCAGATAACTAAAAGCACATGATTGCAAAAACCCCTACGTCCCTCTAATCTTACTTGTAAAAGGGTATTACTTTCAACTAATAAACACGCAAGAAATTAAATATAGACTTCTCTGAGATTATATTATCAACAAATATATATAATTTAATTTTTTTTAATAACGTTGTGAAAATCTTATGTTATATATAAAAAGGACTGATTTTTTTTTCTATTTATAAAATAACATTGTTAAAAAACAATTTAAAAGTGTATTATTGATATTTCCCTGATAAGATTAAAAAGACATGGTTAATTACTAATTAGTCAAATCAATATATGATTGGGTTAGTTAAAATAAGCATTGAAAAAACAAAATAAAAGTGAAGTGTCATCAACTCATCAGCTGCATTGACTCTTGGAGAAGGAAGAGAAAGAGGAATGAATTTGTTTTCTTCCTCAAGGGTTGGCAAACTATGGTAGAAAATTTTGCATGTTTCACCTGCTTCATCACTAACGATGACTTTGCATTTTACTCTTTTTAATATAATTTATTCAAATATTGTACGTTTGCCCATTGCTGTACACCCTCATTTCATAATTTCTTCTCGAAGTTCCCCATTTTATCAACTCATAATAGACTTCTACGAACTTTTTTAGCTTTGCTTTTACTTCACCGTCATATGGCGGGTCCTTCTTGCTATTCATTCATTTGCACCTTTTTTTCTTTCTTTTCTTGGGCTTCAAACTCTTAAAACTATAAATAAAAGTCCTTGTTTTATTGGGCTAATCGAAATGAAATTCACCAAAAGATAAAACAAAAAGCAGCGCAAGAGGTGTAATGTATTTCCTTTACCATACTAAAATTACTCGCCATGGGTTTGAGAAGACGTGTTTACATTATCAATTGATTAAAAGAATTTAAACAAATATTATATTGTAATAACCTCAAACTATTTTTAAAATAAAAATTATTTATTACATTGTAATCACCTCAAACTATTTTTAAAAAAAAATAGAGGTTACTGTTAAATATATTCAAGTCAATGACGTCTATTAAACTAAAATACAACCCGATATTTGCAGGAGTTGCTTCATTTCATAGTTTCAGCTTGTGTAATTAACAATTTTCATGTACAACTCTATGTTTGATGTTAGAGCTAAGGGGTAAAATTACTTCAGCAGTCCCTATATTAGGGTGCAGATTCATTTTGATCCTTTTACTAAAAAATAAATAAACTAATCCCTCCCTATACAATTTGTATTAATCAAAATAGTCAATCCGTTTAAATTTCCATCCATCCGTTCAGTAGTAGAAATGGACTAAAATATAAACAAAAGGCCCATTTTACTCGATACAAATTGTATAGGGACTCTCATATGGTATTATTATAGTCTACCAAAGAGGCACTCCCATATGTTGCATGTCAAATCTTATATTCAAAGTTTTGTGAGTGCTTGTAACTTTCATTTTGAGTTTGAACGATGTAAAGGACGTGACAAATTATTATAATTATTTTTTGTTTATTAAAACGTGGCAAATTATTGATTCCTAGAAAATTATATATTTACATATATCAGAGTCTGATATTATCTTTTCCTTTAATAATTACCCTTTTCCATTTCATCACAAAACCTTGATTTGCAATATATCGAAACCAACGGAAAAACTAGAAGAATCGATATATCCGTACACAGCAGAGCAACATTTCAGCCTTCAGGTAGGATTGTGTTTGAACAAAAGTGAAACAATAGGCGGATGCTGTTACTTTTAATTACGTGATCTAATTATCGTGTTGTTTCGCACACGTAATAATTAGTGTTTTATTTGCTCCACTTTTAAGTCTTTGATGCTTCCAAGCAACCATCGTTTAGTTTCGCCGTCCAAGAGGTGGCTATCAATCCATCTTTTCGGGTTACATCGATCCCCTGATGCAATAATAACTAACTAATTTGGTTATTAACGGAAAATTTAATTAACCGTTTCCACTTTCTTACTGAATCCTCACTTCTATTTCTCAAACTTAAAACTGCAGGTTAGGTCTACTTCTCTCTTTATAAAAAGTACCTGAGAACGGTCTAAGCAAATGTAAATATTGTTGTAGCACCGCCAAAGCTCTAAGTATATTAATTTTGTACTTAAGAATTTCCGAAAGATTTAATTGTTTCTCTAAACTTTTGACACCTCATAAACTCAACAAAATATAAAGAGAATAAACTCAACAAAATATAAAGAGAATGTCTTGAATGCCTAACATATTTTAAAAAGTTAAAATTTCTTAGACATAACTTTTAATAAGTTCATATGATCTACCATAGTCAGTTTTATCCCACATGATTGCATTCATCTATATTGGAATAGTTAGACAGTCGAGGATTGGTTAAGGGAGTTAGAGTTGTTAACAGTTAGTTGAGGCAGTTAAGCTAGGCTTGTTGTTCTTGTAAAAGCTTCACCTGCAACTATAAAACAATGTATACATTTTACTTGGTTGAATAAGAAATATCCAATATTCATTGAGTTCAGACCTAGTATTCTAACATGGTATCATTTGCTAAATTTCCTGAGGAATTGTATTTGCTTTTTGCTGCGTAGAAGGTCCTCTCCTGAAAATCATGGCCATTGATGTTACTGCTTACCATGTTCAGTGGTGGCAGATCCTCTCCAGTCATGGAGTTTAATACAAGAAGTGCTAAAACGTTCTCCAATAAAAAGGTAAACGTAGTCCTTGATAAGACAAACTTTTTACTCTAGAAGCAGCAAGTTTTACTAATGGTGCGCAGTCATCATCTTGAGCGGTTCTTGATGGGAATGATGAGATCTCCGCCTGAAACCGTGGTCAGTGATGATGGTGAAGTGATACCAAATGAGCTGTTTGAAGAGTTTGTCGCCCAAGACAGTGCCCTTGTGTCGTGGTTACTCTCTACGATTAGCCCTCAGCTCTTGCCTCAGTTCATAGGTACAAAACAACATCAGTAGTCTGGAACACGGTGCTTCAGTTCTTTGGGAACATATCCACGACTGTTGTTATAAGCTGATACTATAAGCTGCAATCACTCAAAAAGGGTGATGACTCGATGATAATATATATCACACGTGTATAAGAAGTGTGTGATGCCCTGGAGTCATGTGGCAGCGTGGTGTCTCAAGCTGAACACGTTGCTAGTATATTGAAGGGTCTTCCTCGTGAGTATCAACCGTTTGTTGTGGTTATAACCACCACGCAAGAGTCCTTAACCCTTGATGTTTTGTATGCCATGTTATTGGATGCAGAAACACAGCTAGCTGGCTTTGGAGACCTGCCTGAGGTATTTCCAATAAGTACAAATATTGCTCAAGGAATAGGTTCAAACAAATCATCTACCTCTAGCTACTATTACGATCATAAGTCTTCTCGGCCGCCGATCAATTCTGGTGGAAGGTCTGGTGGAAGAGGTCGAGGTCGTGGTTGAT